GTCAGTTCTGACTCGATGGCACCTGACAACAACAACAACAAATAAGGGGAATGGTGTGGAACTATAGGATAAGCGAGGTCAGTTTGAATAAAAAGGTCAGTGGTTCAAACTCACCAGCCCCTCCCTCTTTGGAACCCCTATATAGGGTCACTATGATTTAAAACGGATTACATGGCACTTAACAACAACATAAGGGGAGCAATAACACTAATGAGGTAAGCAGACTTTTAACGATTTGAGATCAAAAGAACAGCATTTACTCAAGGACAAAGTTCAGAAGGGTTAGGAGAGAAGGAGGAATGGAAAAACGAGAGGGAGACAGGATATTTCATCATGGGAATTGCAATCAATGAGCTGAAACAAGATGTCTCCGAGTTGTTGGCTGGAAAGCTGATCTGCTCTATAAACCTTCAATTTGCAATAAAAAAAATGATATTTGGTCAGACTTGCCCGAGACCCACTGCTAGCCCAGGTGCCCAGTCCCAGGGCTGTGGAACATTGCCTCATGTCATTACACAGAAGGTCCTCTCTTCTGGTACTTTCAGAACTCTGAGCTGAAAGGCAGTCAGTTCTAACTCATAGTGTCCCTGTATAGGGTTTTCGAGGCTGTAAATTTTTAAGGGGGTAGAACGTCTCATCTTTCTCCTGCAGAACCACTGGTAGTTTTGAATTGCTGACTATGAGACTGGCAGCCTGACTTGTAAGCACTACACTGTGATGGGGGACCTACTGCCACAAAGAAAGAAAGACCAGGAGCAAAGTGTGTTCTTTGGACCCCAGAGTCCCTATGCTGGGAACGTCACAGACCTGGGAAAGACTGAGATGTTCCAAGGAACGTAGTATCCACAGGTATTGAGAGATAAGGAAGGGCCTTTGACAGAAGGCCTTGACACTTTGAATTTGGACATCTGAACTGTGAGAAAATTAATTTGTTTGTTTAAAGCTAAAAAAGAAGAAAAAGAAAGGTCGGCAGTGATTAAAACACCAATAAACGCTAATAGTTCTTGAAAAAGTCTTGGTAGCATAGGAGGTTACACGTTGGGCTACTAACCACAGGGTCATCAGTTTGAATCCACCAGCTACTCCTTGAGGGTAAGATGAGACTTTCTGCTCCTGCTAAGATTTACAGCCTCTGGAACCCTATACAGGGTTGCTCCAAGTTGGAACTGACTCAACAGTATACAGTACCTTATGCCAGGTTCTATTAATTCTTCCAACAAGAGATTAAAAAAACAGCACCGTTTGCTGTCGAGTCAATTCCGACTCAGAACCCTGTAAGACAGCGTACAACTGCCCCATAGGATTTCCAAGGCTGTACATCTTTTTTACTTCAATATATCTACAACAAAACATTTGCCATTTCAACCATTCAAGACTATAAATATGGGAGCAGACTGCCACATTCCTCTGCTGTGGAGCAGCTGGTGAGTTCAAACCATTGACCTTTTGATGCTTCAACACTGCTTCACTGGGATGCCCTCAACAAGAGATAATAATTACTAGTCCCATTTAACAGATGAGGAAATTGAGGCATAAAGAGTATAAGTAGGTGGTTGCCAGTCTGTAGCCCTGGAAAGGGGTCAGAGAGAGTACCCATTTGTGGCTCCCGTATTACCCCCACCCCTGTACCTCCCAGCAGCAGTACCTCGGCGGAGGAAGGGGACATGGTCATCTTCCACAGAGCCTGGGGGCTCCCCGGGCTGGAAGTACATCACCTCTCGAGGATGAGACTGCAGCAGGTTCAGACGATGCAGACGCTTCTCTGGAGGTGGAGGGGATTAGAGGGCAGGGGTCAGTGGTCAAAGGTTCCCCCTGCTCATAATCCAAGGAGGGTGGGGGCTGGGGGGTAACACGCTGGGCCTCTCGATATGAGTAAGTGCTAAGATAACAAACCTACTGCTATCTAGTCAATTCTGACTCAGTGACCCTTTAGGATAGAGAACTGCTAGTTCTGGTAGTGTAGTGGTTATGAATCGGGCTGCTAATCTCAAGGTCGGCAGTTTGAAACTATCAGCCATTCCGCGGAGAAAGATGAGACTTTCTGCTCCCGTAAAGATTTACAGCCTCGGAAACCCTGTACAGGGTCACTATGAATTGGAATCGACTCCACGGTACTTAATTAACAGTCTTACGGAGTCTTGGTGTGGTGCTGTAGAATAAGTGCTGGACTACAAGATCAGTTTAAACCACAGGTCAGTGGTTCAAACCCACCAGCCACTCCTTGGAAGCCTTATATTGGGTCGCTATGAGTCAGAACCAACTTGACGGCATGTAACAACAATCTTTATGGAAACAAATTGCCACATCTTTCTCCCATAAAGCGGCTAGTTGTTTCAAACTGCAGATCGTTCAGTTAGCAGCTCAACATTTAGCCCATTGTGCCATCTGGACTCCTTGGAATGAATGCTGGTTACCCCTTACTATGTTCCCGGTCTCATTTAGTCCTTCTGATTCTACATATACACCATGTCCCCATGACCATTATACCCATTTTACAGACAGTCACTGAGGCTGAGAGAGATAAAGCCACTTGTCTCAGCTCACACAGCCAGTAAAAGGCCAAGGCAGGGTTGGAACCCAAGACAGGCTGACTCCTGAGCTCCTATGTTTAGTTACGCTTGACTGCTGTGGCATCATTTCATGTTTCAGCCCTACTTTCTAAGACAGTGGAGGTGGAGAACAAGGATGGAGAAGAGGACTCCTCAGAAGACAGGGGCCCCAGCCTGCTTCACCAGCACCCTTACCGATGCTGCGTAGCCGCTGGAACCAGCGGGCCGTGCGGGGGAAGTGACTATAGAAGGTCGGATGTGCGGCTCCCAGGAGATCGAGAAGCACAAAGAGCTCCTAGATGAAAAGCCACAGCTGGAGGAGGCTGGGCAGCAGCCAGGCAACGCTGCCTCACCTTCTCCCTCCTTGCTGAAGCTGGGAAGGACTTACAATAGCCTGGATCCTGGTGGGGCCGGGGCTGTGAGGAGTAGATTCCATGAGCTGGGCCAGGTGCCGGGAGCCATAAAGGGAGTCCTTGGGTCCCCACACCTTCAACGCCTCTTCGCCATCCAAGAAGAGGAGCTGCAGGGTCACTGGGGCAGCCTGTGGGAGCAGGTGGTCAGGATTGGCCAGTGTCAGACCGTCAGCCTCAACCCACCCACACTTCCTGTCCACGTGCACAGTGTAAAAGAGCCAACCAGGTCTATGTCCTTGTCAAGCGCTGCAGCCAAGAGTATAGACTGTGCCCCCTCCAAACACAGAGTGGGCAGAGATGGGCAACTTGGACATTGGATACCCAAATGGGGAGGGGGGAATACAAAGGCAAGAAGTGACTGGCTTACAAGCTTTCAAGAGGGAACCTAGGGGGCATGGAGGAAGGCAGAATCTCCAGTGAGTACTATCCAATCTGTCTAGGCAGAGCTGATGAAATGAAATACAGACGGGTAACTCGTGATACTGTAGTGAATAATGGTTATCGGGACTGATTATGAGGGTTGGAAGTGTAAAGGTGGACGTTTTATAGCAAGGAAGGGAGTGATTATCTCTCTAGTCTAGGATCGGAGGTATATAGGACCATCAACGGAGAAGAGCCAAGAGCGGGACCCTACCCAGAGAACCAGAGATGGAGACAGAGACGATGACGTGGAGTGATGAAGTGGCTGGGGACTTTGGATCCAGAGAGGGAGAGGGCCTGTGGGCTGAAGACTGGCGGGGGGGAGGGTAGTAGAGGGCGGGTTTCTAGGATATGCCCTTTGGTAGGTTGATGATGCATGAAGGGGACTGGAATCATGGCAATGAAATGATGGACGATGGAATGAATGTAAAACTAAAGCTCTCTCACGTAAACTATCATATAATTCACAATAAAATATTATATATAAAAAAAGTATAGACTGTGACCCCCCACACAAGAGAATACCACTCTCACAATCGTTGCTGTGTTTGAGCCCACTGTTACAGCCACTGTGTTGGTTCATCTCGCCAAGAGGCTTCTTTCCTACTGACCATCTACTGTACCAAGCCTGATGTCCCTCTCCAGGAACAGGTCCCTCCTGCTCACATGTCCACAGTACGTGCGTGAGTCTAAGTCTTGTCATCCTCAATTCTAAAGTGCATTCTGGTTATATATTCACTTTTTGGACCTGCTCGATCCTGGGTTACCTGACCCTAACAATTTTCTTGGTCTCATCTCTGGTTCCCTCTATCAAGTTTCCAGCAGAGAAAACAGCAAGTGTAAATGTCCTGAGGTGAGAAAGAAACATGGGGCTTTGTGGTTAGAGGTGAGGGTGGAAGTGTGATCAGAGAGGTCACGCGGCATACCTCAGGGTGACAGGAGCCATAGCAGGGCATTGGACAGAGGAAAGACAGCATCTGACATTCAGGGTATGAAATGATCCAGCCCTGAGGCTCTCTGTACATGGGATGGAAGCAGGAAGACCAAAAGGGTGACAGACACCCAGACAAAGGATGGTGGTGGTTTGGATCAGGGTGGAAGCATCTCCTGACACCCAGCCCCAGCTCTTTACCTGCTCCTTGGCCCTGCTCAGCTCCAGGTCGAGGGCTTGGGCCAGTTCCAGCAGCAGAGCGCAGGGCACGGCCGAATCCGTGGCTCCCACAAAGGGAGCTGACCCAGGTGGGAAGAGCTTCGAGTCATAATGGCAGGCGAGGGTCAGGTGGTGGGCAGCCCCTGGGTCCAGCGTGGCCACCACATTACCAAAGTCCAGCGGCCCCAGGGGGGTCAAGGCTGTGAAGGGGTCTAGTTCCACGTGCCAGCCAGCTGTCAGGGTCCGAAGTGTGGCCTCCAGGAACTAAAAGCAAGAGAGGTGGGAGGGTAGCTGGGGCCTGGGGGAAGTTGGGAGAAGGGGCACGTGCCCCATGCCATGTAGAGTTACAGGCAACTAGCAAGTCCCACATTTAAAGCCTCCCTCTACAGACTTCTACTGGGTACCAGGGAAAATGCCAATAAGATACATCACAGCTTAAACAGCACTCAACATCGTATGTTCTACTAACGCTATCAGACAGGGATTGTCATTGGTCTCACTCTGCATGGATGACACAGACAACAGAGAGGGTAACAAACAAGTCCAAGGTCATACGCCAAGTAGCTGAGCTGGATTCAAACCCAGGTACCACAGGAGTCTTGATGCTTTCTGAGACTCAACATAGAGATACTTCAGCACCAGCTCGGGTTCACACCAAAGGTTAGCTGCTTATTAGGAATCCCTGGATGCTACAAACCATTAAAAGTGTCTGACTATTAGCCAAAAGGTTGGTGGCTCAAACCCACCGAGAGGAGCCTCAGAAGAAAGACCAGGCAAAGTTTCTGAAAGGCCACAGTCTTAAAATCTCTATGAAGCAGTTCTACTCCGCACATGTGGGGTCAACAGGAATAAGAACTGATTCCAACTAATGACCCCTGGTGAGCCGACTCCCCAGCATATAACCACCACTGCCATCAGGGGTCCTGTGGGTTAAGCACTGGGCCGTTCACTGCAAGATCAGCAGTTCAAACCCACCAGCAGCTTTACGGGAGAGAGATGAAGATGGCTGTTCTAGTAGATGTACAATCTTGGACACCTTGCATGAGGACCGATTGGATGCCATGGCAGTGGGTGAGGAGGCTTGGTGCACAATGGGCAAAGCACTTGAACCCACCAGCTACTCCATAGGAAAAAGATGGGCAGTCTACTCCGGTAAACATTTACAGCCTTGGAAACTCTATGGGGCCGTTGTACTCCCCTACAGGATCACTAGGAGTCGGAATCAGCTTGTTGGCAGTGGATGGTAACTACAACAAACCACTTATTAGCTGTAGGACTTGAGCAAAGGTATAAACCTCTTTGGGCCTCAGTTTCACCATCTGCATAATGAAGATCAAATCGGTTCACACAGGGCTGCTATTACTTGAGCCTAACATGTAGTCACTTTGGATGGTGACACTGGAGAGTTTCTAGCCAGAGAGCCAAACCTCTGTCCCTGAGTTATATTGTGTGATCTTTGCAGGATGCCCAGGTCCCACACATTCCCCTGGGGTCTCAGGGTTTGGAGGTGGGGGACTTCCTTTTACCTTTCGGACTTGGAGATTGCCAGGACTGCCCGGATTCCGCACGACCAGCAGGGGGCGTAGGTAAGTGTTCCAGAGACGCTGCGGGTCTAGTTGGCCCACCACCCTCCGCAGCCGAGATTCAGAAAGACTTCCGACCACTGGGACCTTGGAAGTAGGTAAGAGTGTAGAGGAGAAGGGCAGAGAGTGAGAGCAATCGCATTCTGATCCTACCCCTGGGAGTCGCCATCACCGTAAGGTGTCTGGTTCCTCTTTGTAAGGATCTGAGGCTTTTAAGATAAATCCCAGGTCCTGGACGTCCATCTGGGTCAGTCCACCTCCCAATTCTAACGGGAAAATCAAGGGCCAAGGAGAGGAAGGGTCTCTTCCAAGCAGTTGATTTAGGATTAGAATCCAGCTCAAGGAACCCTCATCGTAATCTACACCACTCCAGATCCTTCTTCTAAAGGGGGAACCACTGTTAGAAAACCAACCCGGAACCTTATTCCATTAGTAAGGTGCATGCGCTCGAAGGACCGGGCCGCTGGCACCTGCGGTTAGCGGCCATACCACAAAGCCACGTCAGTCAATCCCAGACCCTGGAGAAGGGTTGGCGGGGAATGAAAGCCCCTGCTGAGCCCGCGCCAGGCCTCACCCGCAGTTCCCGTCCCAGGTCCTCGGTACTGCGATGCCAGCCACTCCAGATGGTGTAGAACGCCGAGCCCACAGCCAGCGCCAGCAGCAGAGGCAACAACCGAGGCCGCGGTAGCAGGCGATGCTTAAGCTGTGAGCGGGGTTCCAAGAAGCCGCGCTCTCCGAGCCGTAGCCGGGGTTTCCCGCGGCTCCCGGGACGCATGGCAGCTTTGCCCTGCAACCACGTCCCAGACAGCGGAGCCTCCAGTTCAGACCCAGCCAAATCCCACCTCATGCAGTACCGAGACCAATGAGCAAACAGAGTGAAGGCATGATCCCACCCCCCCGCGAGAAAGAAAGCCAATAGGAACTCTCGGGCTGAGGACACGCCTCCTTGCCTCCCTAGGGAAGAACAATTGGTTCCCCTGAGGGTTGCACAATGCAAAAGGGAGTGCGATAGGGCTAGCTTGCGTCTCAGCGGAAAAGGGGAAGCCAATGGTAAGCGTTTAGTCTTAGAAACTATTCGACTTGTCCGGCGCAGATCCATGCTCCACCTGGATGTAGGCAACGGATTGGTTGTGCTGAGTGAAAGAAATCGAAAGACACGAAAATGAACCGGTCCTGAGAAGAAAGGGGCGGGACCCATCACTGCAGGGAGGAGTGGATTGGTTTTTTGCGGAAGCCACGCCCCCGAAGGCAGGACCGGCGGGTATTTGGAAATTTGGTATTTGGTCGCTTCCTTCCTTCAGTTTATCCCAATCTACAGTGAAATTATTCGAGTTCCGCTCCCTTCGATTTCCCCTTTCATTGTTTTGAACGTTTGCCTCGAATGATTCTGCGTGGTCTCGAACCATTACGCAAGACTTTTATCTCATCACTAAGCACGGCTGACGGTGATCGTTATGGCAACACACCGGCTGCTCGGGTTTGCGCAGGCGCCAACGGAAGCGGGCTGCAGGAAGCGGAAGTCCCATCTCTCCTTGCAGAGGCTGAGTCAACGCGGAGGGAACGGGAGTGACCGGAGAACGCTGCCAGCACCATGTGAGGCCCTATCGGGAATGGGCGATGGGAGTGGGGTTGAAGGTGTAAATTTGGCCCACTAACGGCTGGAGGGGGTGAATAAATACCTTTCCTGATAGTGAATCGGGAGCGGAGGCAGACATTTTAAGGGAAAATGTCGGCCTTTTGATGGGTGTGAGAACGGTTATAGGGCCTTTTATGGATCGTAAGTTCGGGAGAGGGGACTGCATTATCAGATAACGAGCTGGGGGCCTTCCCTAGTTTACTCTTCTTGTTGAGATGAATTTTAAGAGGAAGCAGACCCACGGATAAGGAACTTGGGGGAGGCAAGTGCGGTCTTTTATAACTAACGATTTGAACAGAATGATTTACCTTGATAAGTTGATCTAGAAACGGGTGGCTTTTCAATCTGAGGGCAACTTTTTATGGACAATGAATCGCCGAACTGATTTTGCGTTTGGGTGCTCATTCTGCACCAGGCATTGTTTTAGATACCTGGGGTGGTTGGTTATGTGCCATCAAGTCGGTTCCGACCCATAGCGACCCTTTATAGAGTTTCCAAGGAGCAGCTGGTGAGCTTGAACCGCCAACCTTGCAGTTCAAACCGACTTTACAGTCCAGCGCATTAACCCAAAGCGCCACACCAGGACTCCAGTGAATAAAATAGAAGCCCCTCCCCACAAAAAAAGTTCCTTCCTGGTGCAGTTTATGTGGGGAGAGACAGGCAGTCAATAGGATAAGGAAATAAAGTATAGGATGTGTTAGGTGAAACACTTAAAAACAAACAAAAAAACAGTTGTCGTCTCGTGGATTTCATCTCAGGGTAAATAAAAAAGACAAAAGAATTCTATGTGTTTCAGAGTAGAACCCCATGAAAATAATGAGGAATGTCAATGTTGAGAGGCAGTCCCCGTGTGGTGCTGTAGGATAAGTACTAGGCTGCCAACTGCAAGGTTGGCGGTTCATACCCACCAGTGCACCTTGGAAACCCTCTACAGGCTTGCTATATGATATGAGTAAGGAACCAGCTGGACTCGCGTTAACGATAACTAGCACACTTGAGGAAAGACAGAAAAGTCAACTCCGAGGCAGTGGGTTGGGTTTGGGGAAGATGAAAGCTTGCCTCATAGTTCTTCAAAGACCATCCAGGAGGTCATTGTGGCTGGAGCACAGTTGGGAGTGGGAGGCATAGATATAAGGTATTGCAAAAGCTAAGTTTTACTCCTTTTTTTTACACTGAGATGAAGGAACCCTGATGGCAAAGTGGTCAAGTGCTTGACTACTAACTCCAAAGCCAAGGGTTCAAATCCACCAGCTACTCAATGGGAGAAAGATGTGACAATTTGCTTCTGTGAAGATGGTAGCCGTGGGAGCCCTTATGAAGCAGTTTTCTGTTCTGTGGGGTTGCTGTGAGTCAGAGTGCATTCAGTAGCATCTGGTTCTTTTACATTTAGGTTTACACTGAGATGGGAACTATGGAAGGGTTTTGAAGAGTAACATAGGTCTTAACATAGCCCTCTGGGATGCTATCTGGAAAATAGGCTGTTGAAGTGGCAGAGATGGAGGGAGGGAGCAGGAGAGAAGTGATAGAGGTACGGCAGACCTCTATCTTAACGCATGGTGAGAAATGGTCAGATTCTGCGTGTGTTTGGGAGGAAGGTGACAGGATTGGATTATAGTTGACAATAGGATTTTTGCCCAGAGAACTGGAAGGATGGAGTTGTCACCAACAGAAACAGATGGAGTGGATTGGATTATTGGGGCTCAGCCTGGGACATGCAGGGTTGGATGTGTCTGTGTAGATTGGCCTAATTAGGCAGGGCTGATGTAACCGAAATACTACAAGAAGGTAGTTTTAAGCACCTGGAATTGATTTTCTCATAGTTCAAGAGACTAAGAGATCTCAGACTGATGACCCCTAGCTCCTGTTTTCCCCAGTTCCTTGTAGTGGGCTCCTTGGGTCACTTAGAAATGATTCAGTTTAGGACACCCCACACTGATGTAGGAGTCCTGGTGTGGCACTGTAGTATAAACATTGGACTGCTAAGCACAAGGTTGGCAGTTAAAACGTACAGGGTCGCTATGAGTTGGAACCGACTTGATGATAATAACAACACTGATTTAAGGAACCCTGGTGCACTGAAGGGACAAACATTGGGCTGTTAACCCCAAGGTTGGTGGTTCAAACCCACCAGCTGGTTCTGCAGGAGAAAGATGAGGCTGTATGCTGCTATAAAGATTTACAGCCTCAGAAAGTCTATACAAGGTAGCTAGGAGTTGGAACCAACTTGTGGCACACAACCCCACTACCACACTGATTTGACCGCATTAACTTTATAAATGAAACCCTATTCCAAACATTACTGCAACACCTCCCCCAGTATAGGGGTTGTGTTTCTACATATATTGGCGTGGGCACAGTTTAGGTCTTAGCAGGACTGAGCTGGAGGAGGGTGGGTATGTTGGGAACAAGACTGGCGAGCCAGCGAAGGGGAGACCATGATTCGCCTCTGCTTCAGCCTCTCTCACCAGTGTGCCTTGTCCCCCAGGAGCCTCCTCAACAAGCCCAAGAGTGAGATGACCCCAGAGGAGCTGCAGAAGCGGGAGGAGGAGGAGTTTAACACCGGGCCCCTGTCGGTGCTCACGCAGTCGGTCAAGAACAACACCCAAGTGCTCATCAACTGTCGCAACAACAAGAAGCTGCTGGGCCGCGTCAAGGCTTTTGACAGGTGAGTGCCCGGGTCTCCAGGGGTTCTGTCTGGCCTGGAGAAGCAGCCAGCCTCAGTCCGTGGCACCTGACAGCGGGTTCCCAGGTGCCCGAGCATGCGGTGACAAGCATGCCTTCGGGAGCACGTCCACCTGGATTTGTATCCCAACTCTGCCAGCAGCCACCCAGCCCTCGGCAGCCGCTTTCCGGGTCTGAGTGGAAGTGCTCCACAGGGTTGCTTGTCAGGGACTGGTTGTCAGTAGCAGTTTGCTAAGTGTTTCCTCTGAGGTGCCTCTGGGTGAGCTCAAACCTTTCTGTTAGCAGCTAAGCGCTTACCTCTTTGCGTCACCCAGAGATGCCAGTGGCAGTAAGCTTGGTGGTGGTTTCCAAAAATTCAGTGCTTGAGAAGGGTCCATAGCTGTTGCCTACCTCCTTGTTCATGCACAGAATGCTCCAATTTTTCACTCTTGTGAACGGGAAACTTTGGATAAAGAACTAGTTGTAGAAGTGAAAGGTAGATATACACATGAAAACAGACTAGATCCCTTGCCCTTTATTGACACATGCCATCAGTCAATAAAGGAAGGGAAGGTCTGTGGTGAAAAACAACACTGGGAAAGAGAACGGAGTAGTTGGCAGGAACCACTGAGACCCCAGAAGTGCTGGCAGAGAGGTAACGTGGAACAGGGCTCAGTCATTGGAAGGTACACACTAGGGCTTGGCGTTTCAGGCTGAGCATTACAACCACAGGTGATGTTTCCTGTCTGGGCCTCAGCTTGACGATTATTTCTAAAATGCATCCTAACGATAGCCCTCATGGTGTGGTTGTGAGGATTCATTCAGTGGCCTGGAGGACACAAAACGCTCGCTTTACTACATTAATGCTTCACAAGTGCTTAAGAAACTGGCATTAACCTTTCACGAATTCATGTTCCTCAAGTTAGAATGCTTGGGTGGTATGGATGAGTAATCTGTGCAGCTACAGACCAAGAGATTGGGAGTTTTGAGTCCACCCAGGGGCATCTCAGAGGAAAGGTCTGATGATCTACTTCTGAAAAGCCAGGCCTTGACAATCCTGTGGGTCACAGTTCTGACAGATGTGGGGCTGCTGTGAGTACAAATGGACTGAACAGTGTCTACCAGTTTCCTCAAGGTAGCATCGTTGCTAAGTGCCGTCAAGTCAGTTCTGGCTCACAGCATCCCTGTGTAGGGTTTCCAAGGAGTGGTTGGTGGGTTTGAACTGTCAACCTTGTGGCTAGCAGTCCAGTGTTTATCCTGTAGCGCCACACTAGGACTTCACAGGAAGGGTGGTGAGGCCTGATATCTAGAAAGGCTCTACAAGACCCTGAGAAAATCTCTTCATTTGGAGCCTCTCAGGTAAAATGAGAATCATATTAACAACAGGATATCAGACAGACCTGCATTCACACCAGCTCTACCACTTCCAGTTCGTGAGGGCTTAGATTTCCCCTCATTGTCCTGTGACTCCTGCAGGGATCGCCATGACCTGCCACGTTTGTG